GAGTAAGATCTTGTCTCAAAAAACCAAAGAAATAAGTAAATGGATAATATATATTTGAGGGCAGGAGAGATAGCTGAGCACTGGCTGCACCGGATGGTGGTGGCACAGGCCTTTAATTCCAGCACTTGGGAGGCAGAGACAGGCACATCTCTATGAGTTCAAGGTTACAGCACTAGTTCTAAAACAGCCAAGGCTACACAGAGAAACCCTGTCTCAAAAAACAAAACAAAAAGAAAGTGCTGGGGAGATGACTCAATGATTAAGAGCACTGCCTGTTCTTCCAGCAGCCACATGATGACTCCCAATCATCTATATCGGGATCCGATGCCCTCTTCTGGCATTCAGGTATACATGCAGAGAGAGCACTCATATACATAAAATAAAGAAATAATTTTTTTTTTTAAATCAACAAGAAAATAAAGAAAGGAAGAGTACTGGCTGCTCTGCCAGAAGCTCAATCCCCAGCACGGGCATGCTCTGGCTCCCAGGGGATCTGTCACTTCTTCCGGCCTCCAAGGACACCTGCACATACCTGGCTGGCCGACACACACACACACACACACACACACACACACACACAGTGCCCTTACATACAATGGTAGCCTGGTCTACATGTTAAGTTCCAGGCCAGCTAAGACTACATAGTGAAAAACAAACCAACTAATTTCCCTTCTGTTTTTATACATTTTACTTTATAGTTTCAAACATTTTTTTCTGAGTAAGTATTCATGAATTTCACCAAAACTTCAAAGAGACCCATGGTAGGACTGAAGGCTTAAAACTGCTTCGTACATGAAATATGTTGCCCTAACTCTGCCATAGAGAGACAGCAGCGCTGGCTGCCGCATTACTGGTGGGGGAGGGGTGCACTGGCTGCTGCATTACTGGGGGTGGGGTGGGGTGGCACTGGCTGCTGCATTACTGGGGGGGAGGGGTGCACTGGCTGCTGCATCACTGGGGGGAGGGTGCACTGGCTGCTGCATTACTGGGGGGGAGGGCTAGCACTGGCTGCCGCATTACGGGGGTGGGTGGCAAAGCCTTTTCTTTTTTCTTCTTTAGATTTATTTATGAACCTGCACCTGTGAGCACGTCTGTTATCTGTTGCCTGTGTGCATGAGGCGAGGGTACCCCTGGGACTGGAGTTCCATAGGCTGTGAGCCTGTGTGGGTGCTAGAAACAGAACCCAGGTCCTCTACAAGGTCAAGTGCTCTTAACTGCTGACCCTGGTCTCTCTGGCCTCTCGAAGCCTATCTTTTGGTTCTTTCAAAGGGAAGGGGCCATCCCAGAACACACCTGTCTCACCAACAGAGTGGAGACACTCACACCATGAGAAGAGCAGCTGTGAGTCACCTGAGATCTGTCCCATCCTAGCTATAGCTGTGCCAAGGGTTTCACTGGACTCTGGCTGGAGCCTGGGAAAATGCAAGCAGGAGAGCTTGCCAGATAGGTACTTTCAGATCAAATGGCAACAGACTGACCCAGATAGCTCCAGTTTCTTCGGGAGTTTGAGTGTGAACACCATAGGGTGTCAGCTTTGAAAAGACCAAAAGAGATGGCAGATAATGAGGGAGGGATGGCTAGGCATCCCAGGGGACACAGTGATCCGCCAAGACAAGGTGGCCAGGGGAGATCTGGCCCTAGGCTTTGGCACATCTCTCTCCTTCACGTCCTATGGGAAGATAGGATGCCTAGGGAAAGGCAGAGGTCTCCAGCTACCTGTAGCTGTCAGCAGACATGAGGCAATGCCAGGAATCCCAAAGGGGAAAGCTGAAGAAACTTCCTCCTCCTTTGTCAGGTTCATAGGTTCATGGCTAGGTCTCCATTCCTGGTACTGTTGTTGATCCCAGTGGGAGGAGGGACAGAAAGGTCCACACAGAGAGACCTCTGTGGCCAGGTTTCTTTTGTTGTGTGGGGCCTACAGCACCCCTTCTCTTACAGAGTAAACCTACTTACCTTACCCAGAAACTACATCCCAGTTCTTCCTTTCTCCCCCTGCTACCCCCCAGAGACAATGTTTCTCTGTGTAGCCTTGGCTGTCCTGGACCTTGCTTTGTAGACCAAAGCTGGCCTTGAATTCACAGAGATTTTGCCTGCTGGGATTACAGGTGTAATTAGGCTGCATTTATGTCTGTGTGAGGATGTTACATCCTGAAGTTACAGACAAGTGTGGGCTGCCACATGGGTGCTGGGAATTGAACCCGGATCCTTTGGAAGAGCAGTCTCTTAACACGGAGCCACCTCGGCAGCTCTTGTGATGAAGGGTCTCACTGTATAACCCCGGCTAGCCTGGAACGATGCAGAACAGGCTGGGCTCCAACTACAGAGACATTACTACTTCTGCCTCATCAGGGCTGGCCTTGAAGGCACGCGCCACCACACCTGGACACAATTCACTCCTAACCGTGCTTTAGAGATGAGGAAAAACTCGGAGAAAAGCCAGATGCCTATGGTAATAAATAAGGAATCCAAACTGGGTGTGCTGGCACATGCTCAGGGCAATTTAGGAGGCTAAGATGGGAAGATTACAGTTACAGAGAGGAGAAAGGGAGAGAGGGAAGAGAGAGAGGCAGAGAGGGAGAGCCAGAGAAGATGAATCTAGTGGTAGAGAACGCTGGGCAATTCCCAGGATGGCAAATAAACAAGATCTTCCATACTTGGCCATCTTCACAACTCCCTGACACCCACCTACTGGCCCTCCCCACACGATCGTTTGCATTTCCTAGAGTACACACTCTCGCCTCCAAGTTACCACACGTATGTTCTGGCTGGAATGCCTCGTGGATGCCCTCAGGAGCTCTGTAAATCAAACTGTAGGTCTCAAAACAAGCTCCACGGACACCTCGGTAACGTGTGCCTTTGTATTGCCAGGCCCACGGAGGAAATGGAATTCAACCACCGGCATCAAGAGAGGCAAGCCTTGGCTCCATTTCAGTAAACTATGAAGGCTCATCTGGCCAGGATGAGAACCCCTTTGCCTAATTCTCAGCGGGGAAGTAGGTCCCATGAGGTCATGGGTGGCCTCGTGGCTCCAGGCATTGGCACTAGCAGATTTATTCAGTAATGCAACAGAACACCACCAGGACTATTATGTTCTAACATTACGCCAGGTGCTGGGGATCAAGGATGAATGGGCAAACTAACTGAGAGGATAAAGTTGAACAAATACTTAAAGAACACTCTAAAAATCTGTAAAGGAAAAACAAACAGTTTAATCCGTGCTTTGGTCCAGGTGTACTGGGAGAGAGCTTCCCCTTGTCGTCCCCCCACCCCCACGAGGAAGATTTGAAAGGGACTAGAACCATAATCCTCAGGTTAGGTGTCAAGGTTTGAGGCAGGAAGCCTAACCCAGACGCACACCTGGGCCGGTTGTTTTCCTAATTCCCAGCATGAGATCCGCAAATTAGTGCTCTGGCTGTCAGCCCAGTGGGGTCCAGGGGCCCCAGAATAGCCTCAGAGGATTCTCCCCTTACTCAGGAGACCCCCATCTCAAGAGACCTTCTTAGAAGGCACGACTCCTTTAAAACGAAGGAGGAAGTGGGCAAGAGCGATTAACCCACCGCGAGCGCCACAAATCTTAAGCCCGGGTTGAACTGCAAACCTTTCCCCAACCCGGCTCCCTCCAAACAGCAGGGCGCTAGGAACAGCCCCGCCCCCGAGGCGCGGGCGCCGATTGGCCAGCGCGCCGCGGGGCGTGGCCAGATCTTAAAGGTCCCAGAGCTTAGTGAGTTTACTAGGCCGGGAGGAGCTGGCGGCCGTTCCGGAATCCCAGGGCAAGAGATGGCTCGAAGACCCATGTAGGTGTCCTGAAAACCCTGCTAATGTCCAGGCTCAAGTCCTAGATCTATGGAGCCCACCAGAAACTGTCCACTGTTCGGAGGCGCCTTCTCCGCCATCCTCCCCCCTGGGGCCATTGATGTGAGGTGAGAAAGCCCCGGAGGCCGCTCGGGTGGGGTTGCGGGAAGAAACCGGAGACAACTAGAGTTGCCCCCGCCCCTCTCCAGCGACCTCCGACCGGTCCCGGATAACCAAGAAGTTTTCTGCCATCCCGTGACCGACCAGAGTGTGATCGTGGAACTTCTGGAGCTGCAAGCCCACGTGCGGGGCGAAGCGGCCGCGCGGTGAGACAGCGAGCCAACGGGAGGCCGGGAGCCGAGGAAGTGGGCGGGGCCTGCGGCTGGACGGTTATTCGGGACGGAAACTCCAAGGGCAAAAGCAAACTGGCCGGGGGAGAGCCAGGCTCGAGGGTGGGCATGGGTCGTTCAGCGATGCCCCTCCCTACCCCTGTCCCCCCAACTCCAGGTACCATTTTGAGGACGTTGGCGGGGTTCAGGGGGCTAGGGCCTTGCACGTGCTATCTGTGGGGCCTCTCTGTTTGGAGACTTTATCCCTGAGGGGGTGCTGTCAAGATGCCTGGTTCCTTTCTGGCAAGCAGCAGATAGCTAAAGAAAACCAGCAGGTGAGGGCCGTGGCGAGTGGGAGGCTCTGGGTGGGGGAAGGCCAGTTCCTGGTACGCACACTGGTTCTGACCCCTTCAGGTGGCAAAGGATGTCAGGCTGCATCAGGCCTTGCTTCGGCTGCCCCAGTACCAGACTGACCTCTTGCTAACCTTCAATCAGCCCCCGTAAGGACAAGGGAAGGGCTGGACGCTCGCCACTGGGTCTCCGTTAGGGGTCGGGGACTCCTGGTCTTCTGGGGACTTGGGATGTGTAATCCTGCAGACTTCGGACCATTTTCTCTCTCCCTCTCTTCCCCTTCCCTAAGGACTAACAGCAGGTCCCTTGGCCCCGAGAATCTGTCATGTCCACCTTGGAGCCTGGATAACTTTGAACAGCTGGTGACTAGCTTGACTCTTCATGATCCCAACATCTTTGGCCCCCAGTAAAGATGGTTGAAACACAGCATCCTGCTGCTGAAGACTCAGGGACCTAGTTCTGAGAGGTGGAGTTTCTTTCTGCTGCTTCCCTGGATGTAAACATAAGACACCTCCTCTGCAGAAATAAACTCGCTTTATAGACAACATGATCTCTGTGGCTTTGAATCTCAGCGGACACCTGGGTCTTCCCAGTTCCCTGTGGTCTGGGAAGGGGAGTTTAAAGCTGTGCACAGGAACAGAAGGGACCCAAGATTGACAGTAGAAATATACTTTGGAGTGACTGAACCCTGACACGGGCGAAGTACGGAGGGGGACGTAAATGCTGCTCAGGATGACTGCTGACCCTGAAAGATCAGAAAAGAGGTGGGCATGGCTGCGCCCCTAAGGTGCTGGGAAGTCAGCTGGTCACCAGTCACCAAGGTGGTGAGTAGTAGGGGCAGAGGTGCCCAGAGAGAGACCTGAGTGCAGGAGAGCGACGGCTAACGGCTACTTAGCATATGTGTTGTAAAGGAAACGCAGCTGGTCCCAGAAGAACAGGGACAGGATAGTGTGCGGGCCGAGGCGAAAGTAGGAGGCACCTATACCCTTGTACATGCCAAAAAAGCCCTCTGTCCGAGCTGTCTGCAGCAGAGCGTCGAAGATCCCCCGGTACATGAGGCCCTGGAGCATGTCAGGGAGGGAGGGAGAGCACAGGATGAGCATGTCAGAGCTGGCCGGAGCAGACGCCTTTGCAGGCAGATGTGAGGATCTGCCTCTTCACCCCTGGCTAGAACCCTAGGAGCCCCCTTACCTTGCCTTGAGTGTCAGTAGGTTGGTTATAAAGCCTTGTGCTGGCCACATCAAAGGGCGTCATGGCCAGGACTATTGCGACACCGCTCACCATGGCGGCCGCCAGAGCCACCTTCCAGCTCTGGGGAGGGAAGATCTGTGAGAAAAAGAGAGAATGGATCAACCACACAGTCACTCAAGCTTAAAGCAGAGAGGCCTGCCCTGGGAACACAAATGGCAATTCTGGGGCTTCCAGACCACCAGAGATAACAGTGATGACTCTAGAGGAGTGTCCAGAGGGCGCAGTACCCTTTGGAGTCAGTGGTCCCCAAGTCCTCCTGCCACTCCCTCACTTTAAACCTCGGCACCATCCCTTTCAGGGCCGACCTCCCTTTCCCCACCCTTGTTCCCATTTCAGGGATGGTCCCACACCTTCCCCGGCAGTACCTCCCACTGGCTCATGAGGTCCTTGGTGGATGAGAAGGTGCACAGCTGGGTGGAGGAGCCGATGACAACTCTGGGCAGGCCACCCAAGGCCCCACGCCACAACCCCACTAGACCATGTTTCTGGCCAATCTCGGTTAGTGCCTGAAACATGCCCTGGGGGAGGGGAGAGCATGCGGTTGGGGTTCAGTCACCCATGCTTCAGGGATGGCCTCCTGCTAACACTGTCAGGGACCATGCACCTGTTGTCCAGACAGCAAATTCAGTGTCGGCTTAGAGCCAGAGTTGGACCACCACAAGTGACTCCTGACACCAGAGCTCAGGCTGGAGCTATGGCTCGAGGACATCACCAGGTGAAGAGAATCAGGCAGGAGAAACAGGTGTAGGCGATTTGAGGAGCAAGGACACGTGAGGGTCGGGTGGGTGTGGGGTTTGACGGGTGAAACTTGGTGGAGTTGGGCAAAGCAGTGGCTAGAGCTGGAGCTGCCAGGTACAGCCAGAAAGTTGGGAGAAAATGGGGGAGATGGTTGGGTTTGGGGAACCCTCACCTGATGCTTATACTGGTGCCCTACAGCAATTTCAGAGGTTGCCTGTGCCTGCAGGTGTGTCTTCACCTGGGGACAAGAGAGTGTCACAGCCTGAGCCCCAGTGACCATCCTCCCACCATGAAGACCCAAACCCCCAAACCCCTCACACTTCTTCTAGGGTATTAAGCAACAAATATATCCCTTTAATCTGGCAATTACTGTTGTTCCCACTTAACAAATTAGTCATGAGACTCTGTGTCCCTTGGCTGTAGTCCCAGGGGACACCTCCCAGCACTGTACCCTGCCCCCTCCCATCCTACTTCCCTTGGGTTGGGGGTGGGGAGTGGAGGTTGAAGAATCTCAGTGTTTCCTAAGACTCCATGTTAGGCAAGACCTGGATGCAGGCTGGCCTCTTCTGCCAGCTCCCATTCTGGATCTGATCTCCAGCCGAAAGCTGCACCGGTCTCCCTGTCAGACTACCCAAAATGTGTCCTTTGGCTCCCCGGACCCAATGTGGGTGTCAGCTCAGCTGATTTTTGAAGACGCCTTTGTCCTCAAATCTCATACACTAGGGGAGAGAGCACACTGGCTCTCCTGTGATCATCTCACTCAGCTGCACCAAGCCTGGCCCAGTCCCCACAACGAACAGCTGTATGACCTTGGGCAGGGCACCTACCACCTCTGGGTCTCAGGCTCCCAACCCTTCACCTTTATCTGATAACTCGGAGGACTTAACTGAGAGATGGCAATTCTGTGCTGCCCAGGACTCTGCTGATCCTATACTCAGGTTACCCATCCTGCTACACAAAGTTAATAATAAGACAATAAAAGTTAGGCGTTCACTGGGCATGGTGGCATATGTGTGTAACCAAAGCACTCCCTGGCAGAGGCAAGGAGGAGCAAGAGTTTGAAGCCATCTTGGGTTCACAGTGAGTTTCAGATTAGCCTGGGCTATACAGCCAGACCCTGCATCCAAAAAGAAGGAATGGAAGGAAGGAAGCTGAAGAAAGTCAAGTGCTTACCCCTGCCAGGACCTGCTAATACTTCGTATGTACATTTTATTTGTCTCCTTCAATCCTCAAACTATCACACAAAGGCCTGTAATTGTTCCTGTTTTATAGATGTGGCAACAATTCATAATTTTCAAAGCCAGGATTTGAGTTTCAGAAAGTCTGATTCCAAAGCTCAGGGGTAGGCAGACACCGTCCACACCTGTTAGCTAAAGCGCTAAGAAGGCAGAGTTTGGGTTTGAAGCCAGGTTGTGCTACAGAGGACGTTTTGACACTACAGCACAAGAGGACCCTGCCTCAACAAACAAACGACACCCGCACTCAAAGTCTCCAGACACAGTCGGTAACCCCCATCAACACACCGAGTCAGTTGGATGGGTATGTAGGAGGCAGATGAAAAGGCCTTGACCCTTGCCAGAAACTTTCCCAAGCCCTTTCCTGCTTGCAGGGGGCGGCACCCAGGCACCAATGCCCTTGTGAAGGCCGGGCTCCCACCCTACACAAAGGGACTTTCCTGAAGGCCCGGACAAGACCCCTCTTCTTACCATGTAGATGGGGCTTCCCAAATAGGCTCCCATGACCCCAGCCATGGCCCCGGCTGCGGCGCTGCGGTAGGGACTGTGGAAGCCATCAGCGGTACACAGGTAGCCCCTAGACTCCACCAGCCCGTAGGTGCCCAGTCGGATGCCATTCATCAGGAACTGGTACAGGAGTGCAGGGGCCAGGCCCTTCTGCAGGGCAGCCAGGCCGTCCACCTTGCCAATGGTGAAGAAGGCGTGGAAGACGTTTCGGTAGTGACGCTGGTAGGTGCCTGGGGCCTGCAGTTCGCCCTGCAATTGCATTCTGGTCTTCACAACCTCAAGGGGATTGGTGAACACACAGGCCCCGCAGGCTGCCAGACCACTCATCAAGAAGTCCATGGTAGGGGCAGCAACAGCCTCAGAAACAGGGATGGATCTCAGGGCAACACCCTCCTTCTTGAAGCCCACGCTGCAACAGGTAGAAATTCAGAGAGCTAATGTGCCAAGGTCAAATGCCAAGAAGTGAAGCTAAAGTTAGAGGGAATCTGGGGGTCAGATGGTGGCAGAGAGGTAAGGAGTGTGTGGTAGTGTGGTGAGAAGGCCCTGTCGACCGAGGGATCTAAGTCAGAAGGAGCAGAAGTTGGAGGCTGGCAGGTGGGGATGCCCGCGATGACAGGCTAGGGGGACCAGGGAGTAGGAAAACGCGGAGCTGGGAAATGGTAGGTGGAGAAGCAAGAAAAAGAAGAGCAACAGGAGGAAAAGAATCAGAGGGGAGACCGGGAGGTAGCTCGGCGCCGGCAAGGGGAGGGACGAGAAGGAAGTTAGGGTTCCGGCTAAGAATGAGCGTGGCAAGCTGCGGGAGCTGGAGCACCTTTCCCGAGGTAGGCAGCCGAGGCCGGGCCGCCACGCTCGGGTCCCTGGAACGCAGCGCCAATGGGGGACTCCGCCGGAGCCGCAGCAGGGCGCCCCAGCCAACCAGCGCGGAGCCGGCTCGGCGGCCAATGGGAGGCGCTCCCCGCGGCCCGGCCCTCGGCCTGGGCTGCAGCGGGCGGCGTTAACTCTGCTCGCCCCGGCGGTTAGGCCTGGAAGCGGCTCGGCATGGGGGCCCGGGGCGCCCAGCTTTTATCGCCGCCCGGGAGCCGGTGCACCCGGATGCAGGGCGCGGAGGGGCGGACAGCTCCCCCCGTGGGCGGCGGGCTCCCCGCGGTCGCCCTCCGGCCGGGTCATCTCTGCCTGGGGCTGGCCGCAGCCACGCCCAGCGCGGTGGAGATGCCAGGACCGCCCAGAAACTGCGGGCGCGGGACACACCTGCTGGAAGGCGCCGGTCCCCTGAGGCCCAACAAAGTGTCGGTCTAGCACCGGGCTGTGGCGGCTGTGGGCGCCGAGGGCGGGGGTCCTGAAGGCCAGCCAGGGAGCGAAGCTTGATCTTATTACGCTCCCGATCCTCACAATGGCCTAGGGAGGCCGGGACAAGGATCTCCATCTCCTCTCCGGCGAGGCTTAGGCTACAGAGAGCAAACTAGTTTGAAGGAACCCCTGGGAAAGGAAACCGGAAAAGAGCGGAGAGAGAAAGCGTGAAGGAAGAAGGCAGGGACTTTGCTTAGCGCCGAGTTGCCATTTGCATCTTCCTTCCTACCATCTGATGGCCATGGGCAAGTTACTTGTCTTTTCAGAAGCCCCTTGTGAAATGGGAAAGACAGAATGGGACAAACTGCAGAGGAGAGGATGGGCGGGTGTTACATCTCAGTAATTTACTGGAAAGTCGGGAGTTGACCGAACTCTTCCCACTTCCTGGAGGTCCCTGCCCCTTTTTTTGGTGATGTCCCGGTCAGGATGTACCTTGAGCATCTTCTGATGGCTTTTCCAAGTCGTACGTATGCAGCCTCATCCTCCTTTGTTCAAACATACCCATCTTAGGACTACCTCAAAAACGTTCCTATTGTTTTCATTCTACCGCACTAGTCTGTGAGCTGGAAGCCCTGGTGGTCAGATCTGGGTCATATACTTTGTGTGAGACCATCTTGCTGTGGATACAGGGGCCGCAAACTCAAATCCTCCTGCCTCAGCATGTGGAGTAGTGGAGATTTCAGGACAGCTGCCATGCTGGGTGGCAGGGTAACGCCACAGGTACACGCAGTTTTCCCTGTTACACCATCTTTCACTATTATCATATAATGCTATGAGTCATGAAACAACATAGAAACATTATTTTTGACTGAAGTCCAAACTTTATTCAGGTTTCTTCTGTTTTTACTTTGACTCCTTTTCTGTTCCAGGATCACATACAGAATACTGAATTACATTTAACTGTCACACCTTCTCAAACTCTCCTTGTTTTTCTCTCCTTAAAAAAAAAAAAGATTTAATTTATTGTTATTTACTTGTTTGTTTGTTTATAGATAGGGTCTCTCAGTGTAGCCCTGGCTGGCCTGTAGACCAGACTGGCCTCAAACTCAGAGTTCTTCCTTCTTCTGCCTTCCAATTGCTGGAATTAAAGGCAGCAGGTAAAAACACTGGCTCTTCTTCAAGAGGAGCCACTTTTGTCTTATTTTGGTTTGGTTTGGTTTGGTTTTTTGAGACAGGGTTTCTCTGTGTAGCCTTGGCTGTCCTGGCACTCACTCACCAGGCTGGCCTTGAACGCACAGAGATTTGCCTGCCTCTGCCTCCCTCAGTGTTGGGATTATAGGCGAGCACCATGGCACACAGCTAAAGACAAATCCTTTTAAAAAAAACAAAATAAATACATAGAGTAAAATAAAAATAAAACAAAAAGGTAGAGAGAGCTGCTTCTCCCCGCCATGAAAATAGAACACGTACATGAAAATTTTCTGTATGGAATATTTATCCCCACCAATAAATTTATTTACTTACTTATGCATTAATTTATATTACTGATATCCCTATGGACTCATAATTCTTGTTTTACATTTTGAGTTAAGGCTCAACATATTTTATTTTATTGCTTAATCTATTTATTATTGATTAATTTATATTTATTTTTTTAATATAGTTATATATTTATGTTATTGCTTAATTTACTATTATTGTTTTTTGGAGCTTGTGTGTGTGTCAGTGTCTCACTTATTATTTATTATTTTTATTGTGTGTTGTTTTGAAACAGAGCCTCATGTAGCCAGAGCCGGTCCAGAACTTGCAATTCTTTTGCCATCTGGGTGCTGGGATTACAAGTATAGACTACCATGCTTGGCCTACACAGGCACCTTTGATTTAGAAATATGTGCCTAATTTTCATTTATTATTATTGTTATCATCATCATTATTATTGATACAGAATCTGAATCCCTCTGGCTGTTCTGGAACCTGCTATGTGGAGCAGGCTGGCATTGAACTCACAGAGATCCACTTCTCTTGCCTCCTGATTGCTGGGATTAAAAGTGTGTACCATCATGCCCAACTTCATAACTTCTTTGGTTAGACAGACCATTTCTTTTTGTTTGTCTGTTTTGAGATAGTATCCCTATGTAGCCAAGGCTATCCTTGAGCTGGAGATCCTCCTGCCTCAGCTTCTGCACTACCACCCTTATCTGAAAAGTCTTTGTATCAGTTACCCCATATATTGATGTGGCACAATTTGTCTATTATCCGTTTAAAAATGGAAAGATATCTCGGTTGCTTCCAGTTTTCCATGATTATGAATAAAACTGCTGAGACATGAGATGTGGTTTTCGTGCTATGGTAGAACCCAGGGCCTCACACATGCACCATCCCTAGACCAACCCCAGGCCCTAGACACTGCTTTTCATATTGGTTGGGCTAGCTGGTCTTGAACTCACCATGTAGACTAGGCTGGCTCCAGGCTCGCAGAGATCCACCTGAGTGCTTGGGCTGAAAGGCTTGCTCTCCACACGTGCAGCGCAGTGTTCCCAGTGTGCTCGTGCCAGCCTAATTTTGAGGGGAACCTTCGTTTTGTGTAAGTACTGGAGATGGAATGCATGGCCTTGCACACTTCCGGCAAGCGCTCATCTGGTGAGCTACACCTTCAAGCTGTAGTTCTAGAATGTCTGTTGAGGCTCCATAATGGTCACAGAGCAGTAGCCTTACCATGGGGACTTAGAAAAAATACCAATCCCAGTGTCAGTAGGAATTTTCTTCTTTGGAGAGGGACGCAGTGATTCCTCGGGGACAACCCCTGCTTCCTCCTTTCTCCTGGAAGATAAAGTAGAGAACGGCAGGGAGTGGAAGGCAGGAACCCACTGCAGCAGCTCCTGATGACAGATACCTTCTAGCCCATTGCAGAAGGGAGGGGAAAAGTAGCTGACAGCATTCCCATCACTTGTACGGTAGGTAATCTGGCCAGGTCACACCATGCTTAGCCTTGGAAGAAGCTGCTAGCTGGCATGGCGGTACCAGCTTTAATCTTAGCACTACAGAAGCCGAGGCAGGACTATCTGCTGTTCAAGGACGGCCGGGGCCACACAGTGAGACTCTCTCAGGTGTGTAGATCCGAGGCGGTACACCTGCCAAGAGTGTGCAAGGCACCGGACCCTGCCACTAGCACCACAAGTAATAGAAAGCCATCGCCAGAGGCGTGCTTCCAGCGCCGGTCGGTGCGCTGGTTACTTTTCTCCTTTCTGCGACCGAATGCAAGGAGCAAATGAGAAAAGGTGCTTTCAGCCTTGTGGCTCGAGAGACAAGCTCCATGGTGACCGGCAAAGGTGGCCCCTGTTTCCAGTCAGGAGGCAGAGGCACGGGAGGGTGATGATCAACTGCTTTCTTCGTTGAAAGACTTTAGGCTAGAATCCAGCGGCAGGGTGACGCCAGCTCTCACGGGTCCCCCAAAAAATCTAACCTCCCTGGGCAACACCCTCACACTACAACCTCACGTGTGTTTCCTGGGTGACTGCAAATCTACTCAAGTTGACAGTGAAGATCAACGACCACAAGTTCACACTCTTCAACCTGACACCCGAACACATGCCTTTTTTTTTTTTTGGACAGGGTCTCTACAGAGCCTTGGAATGTTAGCATACTTTTTCATCTACTTTAATTCAGGTTTCTTATATCTGTACCTCTTTTTTCCTACCCAGTCCCTTCCAACACCCCAATACCAGGTAGGAGAGAGGGAAGGTTAGTGGGGAGAGGGGCCAGAGTTCTCTTTGGTTACTTCCTGCTGTTTAGAGTTGTTGGGTTCCTTCGGGCAAGTCCAATCTTTGTTTCAGGAGATTTCCAACTTCTTGTATCAGCAGCAACCAGGAGCAGCAGGGGGTCGGGGATGGGGGACACACCTGCCTTCTTTCTCAGAGGCCCCTCTCCAGAGTCCTCAGCTGGCAAAGAGCTCCTCTCAGAGCCCACATGAGGCACAGTCTGCTGCTGTGGACCATCTGAATCAGTCCCACATCCCACACCTGGGATTAAAACAAAAACATGTTTGCATGACATAACTGAGTTTTTAAAGACACCAGAACTTCCACACACTGGAACTTACAATGTAGATGATCTCTGGCCTCACAGAGATCAGCCTGCCTCTGGCTCCTGAGTGCTGGGACTAAAGGCGTGTGCCACCATGGCTGGCCAGATACATCACTTTTAAAGCATAACATTCCACCTCTGGTCTCTAGGCATCATGTTGATCTTTTAAACACTTTAATACTGTTATTATTAATATTATTTCCGTGTGTGCGTGTGTGAGTGAGCGTGTGTGTGCGTGTGTGAGTGAGCGTGTGCATGCGTGTGTGCACGTGTGTGAGCGTGTGTGTGTGTGTGTGAGTGAGCGTGTGCATGCGTGTGTGAGCGTGTGCGTGTGCGTGTGTGTGTGTGTGTGCGCAGTGCAGACACATGCCACATCAAGCATGCGGAGGTCAGAGGGCAGCTTTGTACGGTTGTTTCTTCATGTGAGTTCCAGGGATCCAACCAAGGTCACCAGGCCTGTGTGCCAGATGCTTTTATCTGCTGGAAGAACAACAATAGTGTAAGGGAGAAAAAAGATTATTTTGGCCCATGGCTCAGGGATAGAGTCCGTCCTGGTGGAAAGATAAGATCAGATGCATGGCTCTAATTAGCCCAATAGAATGCATGTGTGTTTCATTCCCTCACATAATATAATTACACGTGCTGATTTGCAGACATAAAACGTCTACTCTGTGATTTTCAGATCAATTTGTCTTTCTTTATTAAATTTTTATTTTTATATTAATTACAGTTTATTCACTTTGTATGCCAGCTGTAGCTCCCCCCCCCTTTTTTTTTTCTTTTTAAGATAGGGTCTCAAGCTGCATGGTGGTGGAGCACGCCTTTAATTCCAGCACTTGGGAGACAGTGGCAGGCAGATCTCTGAATTTGAGGCCAGCCTGGTCTACAGAGTGAGTTCCAGGACATCTAGGGCTACACAGAGAAACCATGCCTCAACAACAACAAAACAAAACAAAAACCCAACAGGGTCTCACTGTGTAACCCTTGCTGTGCAGACCAGGCTGGCTTGGCTTCAAACTCACAGAGATCAAACTGCCGCCTCCTAAGTCCTGGGTTAAAGGTATGCACCACCATGCCCAGCCTCATCTTTGTTGTTATTTATTTTTATATACTTCACGTGTATGAGTGCTTCACGTATGTATTTGCGCCACATTCATGGCTAGTGGCTCTGGGGGACCAAAGAGGCGTTGGATTTCCTAGACCTGGAGTTACAGGGAGTTTGTGAGACACCGTATGGATGCCGCATTCGGGAACTGAACCTGGATCCTCTTGCAGCAGCAGCAAGTGCTCTTCCCCACTGAGCCATCTCTCCAGCCCGGTCGAGCTGTCTTGATTATTGTAAAGTTTCTGAAGTTTCTCTACAGGATTGAGAAAGGCTGGAGAGAGAGCATAACGGGTCGGTAGACACTGGCGAGAGAGCCGTGGTGCTCCTCAGAGGCATAGGGTTCCACAGTTCTGCCTGGATGGACTCATTTTGGCTGCCAGAAGGACTTCTGAAACACTGGGCTCCACCTGGTGGCAGTTCTGCAGCCTCAGCTTCCTGGTGCTGAGACCTTTAAAACGCTACTTTTGTAAGCAACAAAACCAAACCACCCCCAAATAAATACACAAACAAATGATAACAACAACAGAAAAAAAAAAAAACCCTAACATTTCAGTCTACATAAGTGTCTAGTTTTCTTGCTGGAGTCTCCAAAACTCTTAGGGGAAAATATTTCTTCTCCTTAAATGCCTCAAATGGGACCTAGAGATGGGGGCTGGCTGGGCGCTTGGCTCTAGGGTGGGGTGTGGTGGGAAACTAATGTAAACAATTCAGATTATAGATACTCTGTGAAGAACAAGGATAAGAGAGAGAGTATGCAGTGGGAAGAGGCAGGTGGTCTTGGTGAAGGTCATCAAATGGTAAGCAGCTGCCAGCAGAGGGGTGAGGGTCTGTAGTGGGTACCGCAACATTTGGGAGGCTGGGATAGAAAGATTGTGTGAGCCCAGGAGTTCAGGACTGGACTGGACAACCTAAAGAGAACCTTCTCTCAAAAAACAAAGTGTACACCTTTAATCCTGACACTCAGGAGGCAGAGGCAGGTGGATCTCTGAGTTCGAGGACAGCCTAATCTACAGGGTGAGTTCTAGGACAGCCAGGACTACACAGGAAACCCTGTCTGGAAAAACCAAACAACAGCTGAGCTTCTGTTGAGCACCTGTTGCATGCCTGATCCTGTTTCAGAACTTTTGGAATACATTACATTATTAAATAAAACAGATAAAGGCCCGTCTTCAGGGTTACTTTCTAATATAAAGAGAAAATTACTACACATATAAGATAGGATATTGTTAGGGGCTGCATGGGATGGTTCAGGTATGCTTCGGAAGAATGGAATGCTGGCTGAGGGGTAAAGTGCTCGCCCCGGGCTTAGATGAGCATGAACGCCAGGTTATCCCACTGTCGTGTGGCTCTCAGGCTAACCGGCTAGCCTCGCTGGCTACATTGGCAAGCTTTGCCTTCAAGGGAGACCTTGTTTTAATATATGTAAAGGTGGAGAACAATCAAGGAAGACACCCGTGTCAACCTCTGGCTTTTGCACACACGTGCACACACGTGCATGTGAACCCGTGCAGACTCACACATGTGCAAACACACAAACACGCACACACAAAGGAAGTCTGGGGTAGCGGATCGCAACTTCTTTCTTTTTCTTCCTTTTTGAGGCAGGGTTTCTCTGTGTAGCCCTGGCTGTCCTAGGCTCACTTTGTAGACCAGGTTGGCCTCGAGCTCACAGAGATCCGCCTGCCTCTGCCTCCCAGAGTGCTGGGATCACAGGCGTGCACCACTGCACCCAGCTAGATTCCCCTTTCTTTCTTTCTTTCTTTCTTTCTTTCTTTCTTTCTTTCTTTCTTTCTTAGACAAGGCTCCACCAGGTAGCCCAGTGGATTGAAATTTTAAAGCAGCCAGGATAGAGCTCTTTGAGAGGGTTTCTTCAGACTGCCTGGGAAGGTGAAGAAATGCCCCACGGAGATTTACTGGGAAGATTTCCAGGCATCAAGACTTCAAAGATCCAAAGGCAGGAGCAGGCCTGAAGGGAGAAGCCAGGGAATAGATTGTGCAGTCCCCTAGAAAGACTTTAGGCTTTTGACACAGAGCAAATAGGGTTGGGAATGACTTTCCATACTAGCATGCTGGGGTTTCCTCCCAGTATCTGGCCTGCAGAGTGACGTCTGACAGGGACCTGCCCCTGAAGCTCCCACCAATCTCCCTCTCAGGCCGGGATGTGGCTCACGCCACCACATTCAGTTCTTACGACACACTCCCAGCCCTTGGAACTCAGTTTCCCAATCAGAGAGCAAATTAAAGGTGTCTGGTGGCAGGCAGACCCGACAACCCATGCCCCCTTCTCTCCAGGCATTGACTTCTGGGACAATCACTGCGGGAGGGAGTTATCCAGTCAGAGCTGGGACCCAGAGAAACTGGGAAGGCAGGGTAGTAGGAAGATCCCCTTCCCCACCTCCCTCCACACTCCCACCCCTGGCCTGACACAATGGCTGGGTGGGGCGGAGGAACTGGCTTCCTCTGCGGAGATGGAAATCTGGGCCCTCAGTTCCCGCCCCAGAGAATCAGGAACAGTTATTTGGAGTTGGAGGAGTCGGGCAGCATCTAGTTGTCCAAGGGGACAAGAAGATAGGCTGAAAACAGAAACTATCCCAAACCATAAAGGTACCTCCCTGGGCGGGGGTGGGGGGCGGGGGTAGGGAAGGGAGTGCAGTTGGGAGGGGAGAGAAGAGAGGTTCCCTCTGTATCAAGTGTGGTTGGCTCACACCAAGGCAATAGTTGGGAATTGGGGTGACAGTTGCGCAAACGGTAGGGATGATGGCCAGACATCCCTAAGTTAAGAGCGAGGCAGGAGGATGGCTGTGCTGTACCGTGCTGCCAGCCCGGCTTGCCAGGGAGCCTGCCATCCTCACCCCAGCCCCGTCACGCCACACAGCAGCACAGGTGAAGGCGCACACGCAGAGAGGCCTGCCTTCCATACCTGAGCCCCAGCCTTCTCTAACCTCCAACACCCTGGACGACGGATCCCTCACATCCTCTAGGCCCGGCCTGCGCATGTTTAGCGTGGTGAGGTTGGGGGGGGTGTCCGGTTGGGAGGAGGATAGGATTCCTGTTTCCTGCCCCTACTCACTCAGCCCTAGGAGGTGACTGGGAGTGGAGGAACTGAGGGGTAAGTGCTTGGGGCCCCCTCGATGGTCGAGGGCCCCCCATAAAACACCTGAGTCTGGAGTGGGGAAGGAAGGAAGTGCAGATGGCTGGGATGGGGCAGGGTGGGTTCCCTGAAGGGGCAGACTCTGGGGAACAGGAGGCCAGGCTTGGGTAACCTCCCTGAGGGGTCGCCTTCCTGGCAGTGTGTAGGGGCCACTGAGTGAGCTGCAGTCCAAGGGGTCTTCGACACCCCTCTTTTCTGAAGACCCTAACCTGGGAGCTGGAAGGCTCTGACTTCTGACTGCTATTGGGAATTTATGGGCCCGCTAGTGTCCCAGCTCTGGTCCCCATCCCCTTGTCCTCGAGAGGAAGAGAAACACCGGACCCAGTGGCCCAGTGCCATTGGTTCTCTGCTTCGGCCTGGGCCGGTGGCCACCTCCCTGGCACCCAGACCGGACCCAGGGTCCCTCTGGAGCCTCTCTCTTTGACCAGAGCCAGGTGTGGCAGGAATAAGAGGATGGGGAGCAGAAGAAACCAGGCTGGGGGCCTCCTGGTCTCCTGGGGTCACAGGCTCCAGGAATCTTCACGGCAGGAAAAGGAGACTAAAAATAATCCGGAAAGGGAGAGTCCGGAGAGAGGAACTGGGAAATGGGAGGGGGGAGGAGGGGCAGGCAGAGCAGGGAAACTGTGATGCATCCCTCAGCTCGGGACCTCGGAACGCTGTGCTCACACCACACACCAGCCCCTGCTCACCCCACTCTTCCACAGCACACTTCAGCGCCCTCCCAAGCCCCACCTGTCCAGCACTAGATAACAGCGCACACAGATGCCTTCACAGTGATTACACATGCAAGCTGAGTCCCCTGGCCTCTTGCTGATTCTGTCACCCCTGCCTCCCCATCCTCCCCAACTGCTTGTCTTTAGCCTACTGTGTTCCCTGGCCTGACTGTGGCAGCCAATGTCAAAGGATGGAGAAGCTGGGCATTGCAGAGTGTAATCCCGGCTCTCCGGAGGCTGAGGCAGGAGGATCAGAAGTTTGAGGCCAGTCTGGGACGCCTAATGAGAGACCGTGTTTTAAAAAAGGAAAGCTGCTCAGGAGGGTCCAGGGATAGAATGAGGAGGGGTGAGGGGTGCAGAAAGGGAGGTAGCGAGCGTACCAGCCTTCAACCACCCAGATACATGACTCCAGATGGCCTCGGTCCACCCACCAGGGGAGACCCCGAGGGCCACTTTCTCCCTCTGCCCTCCTCAGGGGATGACTTCCTCAGAACACCTCACTCCTTGGAAACACTCGGAAGACGATGTCAGCCCAGTCTCTTCCTGCAGCAACGCCCCCTACCCTGAAGCCCCCTCGGATCATCCGCCCCCGGCCCCCTTCTCGCCATAGGGCTCCACACTCTCCCGGGCCTCCCCACAATGGCTCCTCTCCGAAAGCGCTTCCTCACGTTTCCAACGACGCCTCCGCGCCCATGTGCGCCTCCATCTTCTGGGAGCCGCCCACGGCCTCCCTGAAGCCCCCTGCCCTTCTGCCCCCCTCAGTCTCGAGAGCCAGCCTGGACTCTCAGACATCCCCCGACTCACCTTCCAGCACGCCCAGCCCCAGCCCAGTGTCCAGGCGCTCCACGTCCCCAGAACCAGCTCCCTGCTCCCCTGCGCCCCCACCCAAGCCCTCGGGGTCTCCCGGAACACCTCTGCCCTCGCCCCCCATGCCTCTCCAGGATGGCTCTGCCTCAGCCCCTGGCACGGTTCGCAGACTGGCCGGCAAGTTTGAATGGGGCCCTGAAGGCAAGGCCCAGTCCTCAGACTCTCTGGAGCGCTGCTCCCAAGGGAGCACGGATGTGAACGGAGAGAGAGAGACTCCCCAAGCCGTCCTTTCGGGGACTGGGTCGCAGGAGAACGGCAGTCCCGGTAAGCACAGTGGCCGGGACTGTGGCCTCAACACAGCTCTTTGTTGTGAAGATTGCAGATGCTGAAGGGCTGGCATTTCCAGTGTGTACAAGAGTAGAGTTTGTGTTTGTGGGGTCTGTTTTCTGTGTCCCTCAGAGTTTCGGGCTGTCGGGGTGGAGGAGACCTGTAGATACCAGATGTGGGGAAGATGGGATGGGCCAGGCCCCGAGGACCTCCTCCTAAGGCAACCGCTTCCGCCGCAGATGCTGCCCTGGCCTGCCCTGCATGCTGCCCCTGTGTCTGCCATGTAGCAAAGCCCGGGCTGGAGCTCCGATGGGTGCCTGTGGGGGGCCCTGATGACATGCTCAGGGTCCCGTGCCGGGCATCGCCTCTTCGGGCCTCCCGCTCCCGCATCAACCCTTCGGTCATCAGCCACCCTCCCGTGGTCCTCACATCCTACCGCTCCACGGCGGAGCGCAAACTCCTACCTCCCCTAAAGCCCCCCAAGCCAGCTCGAGTGAGACAGGATACCAGCCCCTCTGGGGAGCCTCCACAGCCAGACCTGGAACTGCCTCCGGAAGATGGAATCCAAGCAGGTACAAGGCCTGGGGGCTAAGGACATGGAGGGGTGGAAGAGGGTATCTCTGGGCTTTGAGGGCACGGGGTGGGGCCTGAGAGGCCAGCTCAAGCCGACCCTGCCCTGGTCGCCTCGTTTTTCTCCCGGAGAGGGGAGTGGTAGTCTTGGTGCCAGTCTTCCTGGGCGCTGGGGCTCCTGGGGGTTAGTTCTGCTCACGCTGGGTTCTCTCTCCAGGGGACAGACATAAAGACGCACCCCAGAATGCTCTTCCTGCAACCTTGGAGAAAAGGTACCGGACTCCATCTCTGCTCTCCCTTCTCTCCTCAGCTCACCATGCTCTGACCTAAAGGCAGATAACCTTCGGGGCCCAGTGAATTCCACCTTCTTCAGCTGTGGGGTGGGAGGGGAGCCAGGGCTCCACAGACAGGGAACCCAGCTTTCTGACCTGACCTCTGTTCCTTATTAGTTATGCAACCTTAAATACATCTTCCTGGGTCTCAGCGCCTTTCTCTGAGAAGTAGGGATAGAGCGTGCCGTGTCCCATCAGGTTAGCGAGGCAAGTGCTGCAGAAACCCTGGCCTCAAGCTAGGCGTAGTGGCGCTAATCCCAGCACTCAGCACGCTGACCCAGGAAAATCAGGAGTCCAGGCCAGTTCATTTTCAAAACAACAAACCATTGTGAGCTTCAGTTAAAACAATTTTTAAGATTTATTTTTATTTTTCATTGATTGATTGATTGGTTTTTCCAGACAAGGTTTCCCTGTGTGACAATCCTGGAAGTCCTTTTTGGACCAGGCTGGCCTCAAACTCACAAAGATCCTCCCCACTGTGCCCCCTAGTGCTGGGATTAAAGGCATATGACACCATGCCCAACTAAAATTTATTTTTGATTATGTGGGTGTGCATACCCCCCCCACACACACCATAGGTTGAGTTACAGGCAGTTGAACTCTGGTCTGCTGCAAGAGTCGTGTACGCTCGTGAGCACTGAGCCGGTTTTCAAGCCCTCTGTCAAAATGATTGTTGGCGAAAGCATTTGGCAACCATTGTTGTCTGTTATGCTTCCCAGGCTTGCTAATCATCTTAGATTGTTTTTAATTTTAATCAGAAGTAATCATCTAGGTATGTCCGTTTGTTTAGACAATATTTACTGCAGCAGCTTTTAGCTTCTGTGAATGTCTGGCAGCCAGGAGAGGGGAGACAGGGAGCCACAGGTGTGAGGTTTGACTACTTGGCGTTTCACCCATGCTGCTGTGACAAAGGGCTGGAAAGAATCTACCGCTCACTAGCTGATCCAGCAGGAATGCTCAGGGCCTGGTTTGCCAAGGGCCTCGCCTCCAACAGGAACATCTGCAATTTGACCTGCGGGGCTGTCCGGGTGCCCCAGAGTGGCTCTCACTCGGCTTCCTCTCTCCACAGTGCCGGGGAAGGGCTGGAGGGGCTGAAGGAGCAGCAGTGGGAGCTGCCGCTGCAGGATGGTAGGTCTCCACCGAGACAGGCAGGAGGGGAGGCTGCTGCGGCCCTGGCCTTGCCTGATGCTCTTTGTCTGCCTTCCAGAACCTTTATACCAGACCTACCGCGCGGCCGTGCTGTCCGAGGAGCTGTGGGGTGTGGGTGAGGACGGGGGTCCCTCTCCAGCTAACCCCGGAGAAGCTCCCACCTTCTCCAGGCTCCCTGGACCTCGAAACACCCTGTGGCAGGAGCTCCCGGCTGTGCGAGCCAGTGGGCTATTAGAGAGCTTGAGCCCCCAGGAGAGGCGCCTGCAGGAGGTGGGTGCCCTGGGCGAACGAGAAGGCTGCAATGGGGCGAGGGGAAGGCACAGATGAGTGCTGGGCTGGCTGTGAGGCCTGTCTTCCCTGACCCTGCTCTCCTGTCTAGAGCCTGTTCGAGGTGGTGACGTCAGAAGCCTCCTACCTGCGCTCCCTGAGGCTGCTGACTGACACCTTCGTCCTGAGCCAGGCTCTCCGGGACACACTCACTCCTCGAGACCACCACACGCTTTTCTCCAATGTGCAGCGAGTCCAGGCTGTCAGTGAGCGGTTAGTGGGACCCATCTTCCTAGGAACCTGGGCCTAGCTGCTGCACTCCCCACCCGGCTAGGTCCCTCTTCCGTGGACCCAGCCAGTTTCCAGCACTCCCCTGGAAACCCCGACTTTTAGCTGCTACCTCTCCACTTTCAGGTTTCTGGGAACATTACTGTCTCGAGTCCGCTCTTCCCCACACATCACTGACCTGTGTGACGTGGTGCACACCCATGCGGTTGGGCCTTTCTCCGTGTATGTGGATTATGTCCGGAACCAGCAGTATCAGGAAGAGACCTACAGCCGCCTTATGTGAGCACTGTGGTTTTCTCCTTTTTCACTGGGGATGTGTTCCAAGAACACCAGTGGATGGTCCTGGGTCTTATGTGTACATATCTGTGAAAATAATTTGTAAATTAGGCCCAGGAATAGGTTAAAAATGACTAGTAAAAAAGTAGAAAAAATTAGAGTAATATAATGTGGTTAATGGTCAGCATCGTGCTGTGCACCTTCTGGACATTAGTGAGTAAAATAAGAATTGCCTGGGCACGGTCCCGTGATACCACACAGGCAGGGTGATAGACAGGCCATCTCCTAGTGGGTAGTGAAGACACATGAACATATCAAGCACAGGGACTGATTATTGGTGTCCCGGAAGAGATAGGGTGGGGCATGGTGAGATCTTATTGTAGCTGGTCAGAAAAGCACTTGAGGTGTGTGAGTTATTTCTTTCTGGAACGTTCCATTTGGAGGTGTCAGATAGCTGAAATTCTGAAAGCAAAACTACAGATATGGGGCTTCTGTACCCCAGAGTTGGAGGGAGGCCAGGGCTGGCTGGCGGGCTCAGGACCCCACGTCAGAAGTCCGCAGGCATCTGGGCTTTCTCTGCAGGGATACGAACGTGCGCTTCTCTGCGGAGCTGCGGAGGCTGCAGAGCCTCCCCAAGTGTGAGCGGCTCCCGCTGCCGTCCTTCCTGCTGCTGCCCTTCCAGCGCATCACCCGGCTCCGGATGCTGCTACAGGTACCGGAAGCCGCTCAGTCGCGTCCCACCAACCCTGCCGCGGAGAGGCGGAGACGCTCTCCAAGGCCTCTGGTCTAGTTACCGTCATTTCCTATCCCACCGCGACCCCAGGGCAGCATCTTCTGAACCCCTCAGAGGCAGACTGGTTTAGAGAAAGAGCCTTCTAGACCTCCTTCCACTCAGCCCTGAACAAGCTGAGATCTCCGAAGGGACAAACAGCGGTTTGGGGGAGGAATGAAAATACAAACCTAAGATATTCCAGTGTTTTTTTGAACTCCAGAGGGCCACGGGAAATACACAGATTTATAGTGTACCTATAGAATTCTAGTGTTAGAATCTTTTTAAAAAATAATTTATGACTGTCTCTGACATGAACTCAATGGCTGCCTCTTTGACCTCCTCCCCTCCTCCGGAGGGAGGAGCAGCCTTACCAGGCCACAGAGAAGGACATTGCAGCCAGTCCTGAAGAGACCTGATAGGCTAAGGTCAGATGGAAGGGAGGAAGATCTCCCCTCTCAGTGGACTTAGAGAGGGGCAGGGAGGAGATGAGGGAGGGAGGGTGGGATTGGGAGGGATTGAGGTGAGGGCGGGGGCTATAGCTAGGATACAAAGTAAAAATTTAATTAAAAAAATAATAAATTAATTATATTTGCATTAAAGTGAAAGTGACAGATCCCTGGGAATTGGTATTGCAGACAGTTGTGAGCTACCATGTGGGTGCTAGGAATTGACCCCACGTCCTTTGGGAGAGCGGACAGTGCTCTTAACTGCTGAGCCATCTCTCCAGCCCTAGTATTAGAATCTCCAACTAGATGCTGCTGCTATTGTTTTATTTTTTTTTCCTTTTTTTTTTTTTATCTGGGTTTGATGGTGGTTTAGAACTCACTTTGAAGCTCAGGCCAGCCTTAAACTTGCAGTCTTCTGCCTCAGCTTCTTGAGTGTTGAGATGGTGAGTGTATACAGATCTTTTTTTTTTTTTTTTTTTTTTTTTTTGAGACAGGGTTTCTCTGTGTAGCCTTGGCTGTCTTGGACTCACTTTGTTCACCAGGCTGGCCTCGAACTCACAGAGATCCGCCTGCCTCTGCCTCCCTGAGTGCTGGGACTACAGGCGTTCTGCTGTTATTTTTATTTTTTAAATTTAGTCCTCCTGGTGTGTCAGAGTATCAAACTGACACCTCACTCCTGCTGAACAAGCGCTCTACCACCAAGTGTCCAGCCCAGCTTCCTTTGTGCTCAGCTTGGTCTGGCTTCCGTGCAGACAGCACGATAATACTACACCAACTCCGTCACTGCTGAGCGTGCCCCTCGCAGCCCAGTTCTAAATGTTCTGGGGTTGCATAACCCCAGTGACAAGTGTGCAAGGGCATTGTACACAACTCTGTAAAGGAGGAGGTTGAGGCGCAGTTTGAATAACTTGGCCTAGGTCATGCAAAATAACGTATGGAGCCAGGCGTGGTGGTGCAAAAGGGCTTTTATTCGCCTGTAGCAGTTGTTGTCTGGGAGGGTTCCTGCCTCGTCTGCTGACCTGGGCCTCGTCCTGGGAGCATCCAGCCTCTGCAGTCCAATCTAGGCCTAGAATGTGTCCAGTTCTGAGACTCACTGCTGAATAAGCTCACCCTTTCTTGTTCTTACCAAGCTCTGGGCTGGCTGGTTCAAATCAGCCCTTCTGACTCAAACTCCTCTCCCAGCTGACTTATTCAATCTGGCTCTTCTCTCAGCCTCCGAGTTGCTCTGCTTGGCCCCAAACTAACCGTAGCAATCTGGTCTGACCTCCTGGCTCCTTCTCATTCTCAGGCTCATTCAGTCTTCATCTGTGTTCATTCTCGGCAACCTGCCTCTCTATTCCTGTCCCTGCAAAACTCTGTTCTCTCTCTCATTATCCCTTAAGTAGCTTCCCTTCCCTCTCTCTTCTCCTGAGAGTTGGGCGTTTCCTAGTCTGTCAAGTCTTTCCCTGATTCATCACTGTTCTGTCACCCAGTTAGGCATCACTTTCAAACATAGCGGCTTCCTTCTACAAACCAACTTTCCTTCATTGTTTGCGATTAAAGGCCTGCACCACCATGCCTGGACCTAAGCTCTTCTTTACCTGAAACTTGCTCTATGCCAAGCTATCCTTGAACTCAGATCTGCTGGCCTCTCTCTTCTGGATTAAAGGCATGTCTATATTTCAGCCAGATCACACAGACCTAGAAGGTCTTTGGATGTGATCTTTTGCCAGAGCAGCCATGTTCTGAATTAAAATTCCTCTACATTGGTAGTCTGTGTCTGTACTCCCAGCATTCCGGAGGCAGGCCAGAAGAATTCAGAGTTCAAGGCCAACAGGACTGCTTAGCAAAAAAAAAAAACGCTCTCAGAAAAACATACACGCTAAAAAGAAAATAAATAGAAATCCAGGCGTTTCTAACTGCCCTGCTGTATTGTTAGGCTAGTAATTGTGTGTGTGTGTGTGTGTGTGTGTGTGTGTGTGTTTAAAGACCCCTCCCAGCATTTATGGCGTGCCAAGGACTATGCTAAGTGTTCTTTTATATCACCTCCCAGCACCCTCACAATGCTATAACATGCTAAGCAGATGTCAGCTCCACCTTATAAACGGGGAAACAGGCTCTGAGCAACAACATGACTTGCTCGGGCTCTGGCAGCTGTTAAGTGGTAGGTCTCACGGCCTCGCTGGGGGTTATCTGGATGGCCCCGTGAACCCTAAACGGGTCCACAGCACCTCAGAATCTCAGGGGCACGGAGGACCCAGTCATCCTTCCTCTTTGTCTCCAGAATATCCTAAGCCAGACAGAGGAGGGGTCCAGTCGGCAGGAGAACGCCCAGAAGGCCCTGAGTGCTGTGAGCAAGGTGGGCGGAGGGACGCTGAGGCGGGAAGAGGCGAGCGGGCGCTGGGAGGGAGCAGGTGGCGCCGGGATGGCTGAGCCCACCTTCCTCACCAGATCATCGAGCGCTGCAGTGCTGAGGTGGGGCGCATGAAGCAGACCGAGGAGCTGATCCGGCTCACCCAGAGGCTGCGCTTCCACAAAGTCAAGGTTAGCCTTCCCCAGCCTCTCCACCCAGCCTCTCCTCACCGTGCTGTGAGGCCAGACCCTTCTCTTTTCCCTCCCAGGCGCTACCCCTGGTCTCCTGGTCAAGGCGCCTGGAATTGCAGGGGGAGCTGACAGAGCTGGGGTGTCGCCGGGGCGGTGTGCTCTTCACCTCCCGCCCCCGCTTCACCCCCCTCTGCCTGCTGCTCTTCAGTGACCTGCTGCTTATCACTCAACCCAAGAGGTGGGTCCTCCGTGGGAGGGGAGGGACCCTGGCCTGGGGTGGGGAAGGGGCATCCAGCTCTCTTCTGACTGCCCTCTTCCTTGGGCAGTGGGCAGCGGCTGCAGGTTCTGGACTATGCCCATCGCTCCCTGGTGCAGGCCCAGCAGGTTCCGGACCCATCTGGACCTCCTACATTCCGCCTCTCGCTTCTCAGCAACCACCAGGGCCGCCCCACCCACAGGCTACTCCAGGCAGCCTCGCTGTAAGTTGCTGCTCTAGAAAACACTCTTGGGAGCTGGCGATGTGGCTCAGTGGTAGAGGGCATGCGCAGAAAAAGTGAGACCCTGAGTTCAGTCCCCAGCACTGCCGGGCATAGTGGCATATCTCTGTTATCCGAGCACTGGGGACACTGGGATAGGAAGGGGGACCATGAATTTGAGCCTGGGCAGCCTTGTCAAAGCATGCAAACAAGGGAGCCATCCTTAGGACGCTCACCTGACCTCTCACGCTGTATTTTCTATTGCTGTTCTCTCTCCTCTGATGCCCTGCTTCATCCCCGGGGACTAGCTCTTGGGCCAACCATGAATCCTCTATTCACCTCTAGGTCAGACATGCAGCGCTGGCTGGGGGCCTTTCCCACCCCAGGTCCTCTTCCCTGTTCCCCAGACACCATCTACGAGGACTGTGGTAAGCATCTGTGGGAGGCTCAAGGGGAAGATGGGATGGCAGCTGAAAAGAAAGAGGGTCCAACTGGGATGTTACCCATGCTTCGCCAGAGTGTTCCCAGGAGCTATGTTCAGAGCCATCTACACCTTCTAAGACCGAGGGGCAAAGTCTGGAGTCGAAGGGCCCCCGCAAGCATCTGCACAAGAACCCTGAAGGTGAGCGAGCCTCTCCGGTAGCCATTCAGCAGATACTTATTGACCAGCATGAGCCAAGCACTTACCGTCTCAGGCTCTGCTGGAGTGTGGTTGGTTCCCTGGCAGTGCTGGCCTCAAGCCCTTGCCTTACACATGAAGGCAAGTGCTGCACCTAGGAGCCACACCCTGGCCCGGGAATCTATTTTCTAACACAGGAAGCAGACAATAAAGGATAAATGAGCCAGGCTGATGCTGATCTCGGATTCTACCACTTGGGAGGCACAGGCAATCAGACCTTTGTGAGTTCAAGGCCGGTCTGGTCTACACAATGAGTTTTAAGCCAGCCAGGGCTACATAGTGAAACCCTTTCTCTCTTCTTTTTTTGGTTGTTTGTTTTGTTTCTCAAGATAGGGTTTCTTTGTGTAGCTCTGGCTATCCTGGAACTTGATCTGTAGACCAAGCTAAGCTTGAACCCAGAGATCCACCTGCCTCTGCCTCCCAAGTGCTGGGATTAAAGGTGAGCGCCAGCACTGCCTGGCTGAAATTCCAGTAGTGGCCCGAATTCATACTTTCAGTATCGGTTGAGGCAGGAGGGTTGCTGTTTGATTGGGTTACATAGTGAATTCCGAACCGGCCAGAACTAGGTAGCAAGACACTGTGTCCAACAAAACAAGTCCACATTGGATAAAAAAGTGTAATTTATACATGGTATGTTGGAAGGAGTACGAGTGCAATGAAAAAAACAAAACAAAACAAAATGGAGAAGAGTAAGGCAGGTGGGAGTTCTAGGGTTTGGTAGGCCTAGTGCCTGTTGTGCAGGGAAGGAGCGGTAAGGAGGCCAGTGTGCCTGGACTGATCCAGAGAAGGGGATGGGACCAGCCAGGTCACAGAGATAACAGAGCTTAGGGCCCCTGCAACAATTCTCTTTTCAGAGATAGTTTTCTTCTTTACTTTTTAAAGATTTACCATTCTTCTTATTTTGTGTGTATGAGTGTATCTTGCCAGCATGTGTGGCTGTGCACCATGTGTATGCCTGGTGCCTGCTGAGGTCAGAAGAGGGCACTGGATCCCTTGGGACTGGAGTTACAGATGGTTGTAGGTAACCGTGTGGGTGATGGGACTTGAACCTGGGTCCTTTGGAAGGATGCCAAGTGCTCTTAACCACTGAGCCAGCTCTCAAGCTCTGCAGTTCTGCTCGAGTAACCTGAGCAGTCATTGCAGGGGCCAACACAGAATTGACACGCCCCTCCCAGATGCTGATGCCCTTCCCAGGAACAGCACGAGTGCTCTGGGCTTCTCTGCCTCTCCCCGGTCCATTCCTGAGACCTGCGTGTCCCCTACCACCCAGCCCTGACTCCTATCCTCTGTCCCTGCTCCACAAAAGCCTTTTTCCCCCCAGGTTGGCTTAAGGGGCTTCCTGGAGCCTTCCCTGCCCAACTGGTGTGTGAAGTCACAGGAGAACATGAAAGGAGAAAGCATCTTCGCCAGCATCAGAAGCTCCTCGAGGCTGTGGGACCCTCCTCAGGCACTGCTGATACCCCTCAGCCCTAATGCAGGGAGGGGCACAGATTGGGACACTGGCAGCAGCAAGGGAAAGCAAAGTCTGCCCATCCATCTGTCCATCCGTCCACCCATCCATCGATCCACCTACCTGCTCGCTGTCAGTGGAAACACTACCTCTAGTGGCAACCAATAGGGATAGAGCTTCCGGACAGAGCAGCTCATGAAACAAGGCCATCTGAGCCACGACAGGAAAGAAAGAATGAGGATGGCTTGACTGTGTTGCCAAAGGAGACAGAGGCTAAGTACAGAGCAGCCAAGGCTGAGGCGCTGGCCATTAAGCATCACTGAAGTTCACAACCAAGGAAGATGGAGCCAGGGCAATACATTGAGAAGTGGCATCATTGAAGTGGTCCTGTAGCCAAAGGGATGGACAGGGACCCATCCAGCCAAAGAAGATGGGGATTTGGGCCCAGGAGACCAGTACTCACCCGACTTGGTTTCACAGAAGCCACTGATCCTATTCTTTGAGTACAGGAAGTATCAAATTAATCTGATGCTTCTGTTTCTGGGCTGTTTCCTATGTCTTTTCAAAGCGCTTCCTTCTAGAAGAATCCAGAGTGTATCTCAGAGGACATGTGTATGTGTATATAGGAAGGCAGCAGCGCTGAGTGTGGCATGCGTGTGCGCGTGTGTGTGCGTGTGTGTGCGTGTACAAGAGGGAAAGAGCGCTGCTCCTGTCGGTGACTGAAAACTTAATTTCTTTTTTCATCTTATATTTTTCTCCCAAGAAGACATTTGTCCTGTGTTCTACAAGAGTACAGAGTGTAGCTTGCCTGGAGGTTAGGGCTGTGAATGGAGGCTGTGTGTTCCGGATGTCTTGTCTCTCTCTGGGTTCCATGACAGTTGAAGGGTGATGTTATGAAGCAGCCAGTGGCCTGGCAAGGGAGGCACTGAGCACCTGGGATGCAAGCTTCTGTGCCACCTGTGGACACACTCCTGTCCCGAAGGTTGACCTTCTTTTATCATGAAGGTCAACATTATAATGCTCTGCATTATCTCCCAGCTTGAATTGTCATCATGGTGTCAGCCAGCCTCAGCCTCAGGCTGCAGAACAAGCTGACCCCAGGCCAGCCAGGACCACCCTGGGCTTCTGTCCTCTCAGAAATGGAGGGCCAAACTCAGGAGGGAGCTGGTGAGGTTGCCTGGCCTCAACCACAGCTTCTGCTGAGGAGAACCTGTCTCCTGCATGATGCTGGAGAGTTGAGGGTGAAGACAGCAGAACAGACAATTGCTGGGGTGGCAGCCCAGGCCTGGGAAAAGGCTTAGTCTTCACAACTGTGCAATACTGTCCTATCATCTGTGTCAACCTGCCCAGACAAACTGCCAGGATGACTATGGGAGTCGTAGTCATAGACAATGGGGACAGAAGGCAGAGGGGCACTTGGCATGTCCACAGCTTCCCTCAGCTAAGTGCCAGCCACATGGGGAACCCTCAATAAATGTTGGTGGCATCATACTGAGGCTCTTGAGGGCTTGAAAGAACAGTAAAAATACGGTTTAATAAGGGGGAATTGTTAAAAAAAATGCATTTTAGAAAAGAAACACACACACACACACACACTTGAACTGCTCAATTTCCTTGAAACCACTGAGCAAGAAAAGCAACACTGAAGTGCCACGTTGATTCTGCGCAGCTTCTACTCAGATTAGAGACCAAGAGCAAAAGTAAGAGTCTCTCCGAAACTCTGTTTCTGGTAAAGTAAATGACCTCGATTGTACCTGGAGTGGCCTTTTAAATATCTTCTTTAGCAGAGGGCAGGTTTGGTGCCTTTATGCCTGTCATTGGTGCTGCTATTTCCTGGGGTCTGGAAGAGCCCTCTTACTCAGCTTCTTCACAGTTGGACCAGCGCGGGCTGCATCTTCCACCCAGCAGCCTCAGATTTCCCCGCTTTGTTTTATGCCTCCATTTATACATCAGTCTCATCCGTGTTTGTCGCCAGTACCATCTCCCATCCCCATTTCTGCCCTTGTCTACATGAGATACTAAATCCACTTTTCTGCCATCTTCAAAACACTTGTCTTTTGAATTAGATCTAAAAGTGTCAAGTTCACTTTCTGAGAAGGCCACGCAGAAGACAAAACATAGCATCACGTAATGTCTATAAGTCGGTTTGTGCTCAGATCTTCCAATTACTAAAATTTAACTCTGTGGGGTAAGACAAATACACAACATGAGACAAGCGTTGAAATCCCCCTTCTGGGAAACTATTGCCATCTTGCTTAGATACCAAATGTAAAATCTGTCTGACTGCATGCTGCTTGCATGATGAGGATGGCCTTGGTCATGGCTGGGCTGAGCTAACCCACTGGGTAGGCACTGGGGCCAGGGAGGGAGTGGGGCTCATAGATCTTCCCTCTGGAGCTTGCAAATGCTGCTTCCCCTACCTGTGAATCCTTAAGCAAATACGAACTGAAGGACAAAATACAGACCACAGTCAATCTTATCTTGAGTATGATGACTGGTTAGCTCCCCGCCACCCCACGCTGGGAATCACACAAGAAGCCTGACACGCTGGGCATTGACCCTGCTCCTGAGCTGCATCTTTATCCCAGGGAGCTGCTTTGTGGAGAGTTTGGAGTCTTCCGATGGAGGCTGGATGCGATTTCAGAGGAGTAATGCTTTGGAGTAAGCTGTTGTCATTTCCTCGGCTCTCTTCCTGCTCTGGGGGAGGGATGTTCCCATTTCCTGGGTCACCTTTAAATTATAACACCCCTCTGTATCTGCACGGCCCCAAGCCATGAGTTCTGCATTTGTGGATTCCACCAACTGCAGGGTGAAAAGATTAAGAGAGAAAAATCCCATCTGTACTAAGCATATTTAGACCTGCCTGTCACTGCTCTCTAAGCAATGCTCTGTCACTGGTCTGCATGAAGTGTTCCCATTGTTCAAGGTTCTGGACGTAATATTTGAATTAGATCTAAAAATGCCAAGTTCTCTTTCTGAGGTCTAGTATATGGTCTAGTATATGAGAGGAAAGCCTGTAGGTTCCATGAAAACAATATACTGTGAAATTCTACATAAAGACTTGACAATTTTGGGAGTTTGAGTATCTAAAGGGACATTGTGGATACCAAAGGATGACTGTATTCAAAATTTACAAGGTCCACTGGGGAAATCTGATGATACTGGGAGCTCCTCCCTCACAGAACATGGGAGGCTGGTGTGGGGGTTTCTAGGGGAGTCCTGTGTGGAGCCTGAAGAGGTAATATAAACCCACAGGCAGGTGGAATGAAGTAGCAAAAGAAAACTGGTCCTGTTATCTCCTTTTGAGTTACAGGATCAAATCTCACTGGAAGCTTGAGTCTCCTCTGCTCAGTACTAGACTACTAACTTGCTGTCTTTAGTTCCTGGTCCGGTTTAGCCACACAGAATCCTAACTGACTCACCTACCCTCTGGTAATGTTACACTCTTTCGGTTAGTAGATAGGCCATTTACCTCACTGGGAGCTCTTCCCCCACTTTGTCCCTTCCTGTACGGAATCCGTGGTCCCTTCGATGAACCTCCACGTTGGAGGATACCAGTCTGGGGTGGGATATTCACTGAAGTGTGCTTGCGTCCTGCAGCAGCCTTGCCCAGGTTGGCTCAGTCTGGTCGTCGTTCTGGATCGTCCTTTGCATTTTATACTATTTTATTTTTGAGACGTCTCACCATATGTGGCCTCTGACTTGCTACGTAGCAAATGCTGGCTTCAAACCTCTTGCTTCACGCTTCTGAGAGCAGGGATGAGGTTTGTATCTCTGAGCTTGTCTTTTTATTTAAGACTAAACCAAGCATTTCGAACAGGGCACAAGTGCACGGGTGTACCGTGGCTTCCTTCTCTTGGCTCTGTCGCCGTAGACAAGCTCAGGGATTTCGCTGCCTACACTGTATTTGTCCTCAGTAAAACAAGACAGCGAAGATGGCGCCTCCGTTTCGGACAGCTTGGCCATGACTTGGGAGGCCCCACCTGGGCCCTTCCCTGGGATCGGGCACAGGTGTCATCTTGACTTGGGTGACAGGCTCCCTTGTTCACGGCTCTGCAGCTAACGCTCAGCTTTCAGGAGTCACTGTGTAGGACACAGCAGACATATCAATATAACTAAGATTTTAATTATTGGTTTTTAAGAGATGCTGGGCTTGAACTCAGGGAGTATGTACACCAGGCAAACACTCTGCCGATGTGCTGTTTCTCCATTGCTGAAGATGTTTGTGAGACGTGGCTCCTTTCCTCCAATCACATGGACTACTTTGTATTTTGGGTTGTGAGCCTAGCCTTTAGCGTCTGAGCCATCTCTCCAGCCCCAAATGGACTATTTTATTAAAAATAATTATTAATTAATTCCATCAATTGCCTACGTGTGTCTGTGCATCTCACACGTCTGGTGGCTCACCATGCAGGTGCTTGGAATTGTTCCCTGATCCTCTCAAGTGACACGCCATCTCTCTAGCCTCTAAATGAGCTTTTACTTTATTTTATTTTATTTTTCTTTGAGACAGGGATTCTCTGTGTAGCCTTGGCTGTCCTGGAACTCTCTCTGTAGACCAGGCTGGCCTCGAACCCACAGCAATCAGCTGCCACTGCCTCTCCCTCCTCCCTCCTCCCCTCCCCCTAGTGCTGGGATTGAAGGCTAGCGCAGCTGCCACCACCATCTGGCCCTGAATGGGCTTTTAAATAACTCCTCCCCCAGTTGCGAGAGATGGCTCCACTGGGCTGGCTGCTCTTCTGGAGGACCCAGGTCTGCTTCTGAGGGCCTATACATGGTTGGCTCCAGTTCTAGAGGATGTGACACCCTCTTCTGGCCTCTGCAGGCATCAGACACACACATGGTACGCACACATGAGGCAAAGCTCTCATAACACTGAAATAAAAAGAAAACAACTTGCCCCGATTTCTTTTGTCATGAAAGACTTTACCGTGTGGCATAGGACATCGGGGGCACGGCCACTTCATGTCAGGTGAGCAGACCATCAAAACTGAACTCTGAGCAAGCACCTTCTCCCCAACCCGCTGGGCTAGTTAGAGGGGCCCTGATGGCGTAGTTCCAGGCCCTCTTCTAGGGACATGGTGGAGTCAGGAGCAGGTACATGGCTTTCCTTTGGTCAGTGTTAGGTTCTGAATGCCTCGTTTGCCGCATAATCTCCCTTTGACCCGACCGTGTAATATTCCAGTCAGCATCTGCTCCACTGGTCTACGCTCAGGAGCCAGGACAGCAGGAGGGGAGGGGATGAAAACCCCAGAACAACAATGATGCAGAGCGTGAGGAACGAGACTCTAAGAGCGTTTTCTTACCACGGTACTGCCTCGTTTGTCGAGGCCTCTTCAGTCAGTAGTCAAAGCAGTATGCTCCTTCTCAAGAAGAAATGAGTAAATACTGGGGAGCAGAGTTCGAGGTTTTTAACATCACAGAAGTTACTTTAGTTCTGTGTGTGCGCACACACAGTGAGTGCAGGTGCTGGAGGCACAGGCAGCGGTGAGCGCCCCGCTCTGGGAGTGGCGCTCCGGCCCTCTGCAAGTGCAGCGCATGCCCTGAACCACTGAGCCCTCTCCGCAGCCCCCACTGCTAACAGCATCATTAGTGTGCGTGTGTGCACGCACGTGTGCAAGCACTTAGCCCAGTGCTCGGGGGAAGGTCAGAGGACAACGTTTAGGATCTGCTCTTTTCTTCTACCACGCCAGTCTGAGCGGTCGAACTGCAGCGGGCTCCCTTTGTCCGCTGAGCCCTCTGGGCGGCCTGGCCTGAGGTAGGGCTTTTCTTCTATACCCCAAAGAAGTGCGAGTGAGGAGTACGTGTTCCTTCTTAGCATGTATCATTAGAATGAGGGGGAGGGATGGATAACCCAGAAATGATGGCTCGGGGCTGCCCTTTGGATGCGGAGGGTCTCCCCAGGGTCTTTGTGGAAGCCTGCTCCGCAGGGAAGTGCTGTTGGGAAGTGGTGGGACTCAAAGGCAGGCCATCGTGAGTGTCCCTTGAAACGGTGGGACTATGGCCTCTTACCTACAGGCCCTGAGGTAGGTGGGTTTGCAGTGCTGGAGGCTGGCTTTTCTTATTTCTGCAGTCAGAATACCCGCTCCTGATTAGGACCCTTGAAGTAAGAGATCTGTTAACAGCTTAGGCCGCTTAGATGTGTGAGGAGCCAAACTGAAAGTCAGGGTCTGCTACAAAGGGTGATCCGAGATCTCGGGAGGCAGAGACAGGCGGATCTCTGTGAGTCTAAGGCCAGCCTGGTCCACAAAGAGAGTCCAGGACAGCCAGGGCTACACAGAGAAACCCTGTATCAAAAAACAACAGAACCGACCAACCAAAAAACAGAAACAGAGGACAGACCTGCTTTCAGGAGGAGAAACGGGGTTTAGAGAAACTAAATGTCCATGTGGAGGACCCTTGACAGAACCTGGTCAGGATGTTTCGGGAATCACAGGAAAACTGTAGGGACAGGCAAATTCAGCCTGCGTCTGCCTTTGTGCTCTAGATGAGAACCTTTTTATGTTTGCAGAATTTAAAGATGCACTTTTCTCTTTGGACTCACTCCTATTATGTGTATTCTTTTAGGTGTTTTGCCCACGTGTTTCTATTCACACCACATGTAAACATGGTGTTCATGGAACTCGGAAGTGGGGGTCGGAGCCAGTGGAACTGGAGTTATGGATGGTTACAGACCATGTGGGTGCTGGGAGCTGAACCTGGGTCCTCTGCAGGAGTAGCAAGTACTTTAACCACTGAGCCATCTCT